CTATACACTACACTATACACTACACTATACACTACACTATACACTACACTATACACTACACTACACCACTATACACTACACTATACACTACACTATACACTACACTATACACTACACTATACACTACACTATACTACACCACTATACACTACACTATACACTACTATACACTACACTATACACTACACTATACACTACTATACACTACACTATACACTACACTATACACTACACTATACACTACACTATACACTACACTATACACTACTATACACTACACTATACACTATACACTACACTATACACTACACTATACACTACTATACACTACACTATACACTACTATACACTACACTATACACTACACTATACACTACACTATACACTACTATACACTACACTATACACTACACTATACACTACACTATACACTACACTATACACTACTATACACTACACTATACACTACACTATACACTACACTATACACTACACTATACACTACACTATACACTACACTATACACTACACTATACACTACACTATACACTACTATACACTACTACACTACATTATACACTACACTATACACTACACTATACACTACTCTACTATACACTACACTTCCATATACTACTATACACCACACTAATATACACTACACTATACACTACACTATACACTACACTATACACTACACCACTATACACTACACTATACACTACACTATACACTACACTATACACTACACCACTATACACTACACTATACACTACACTATACACTACTATACACTACACTATACACTACACTATACACTACACTATACACTACACCACTATACACTACACTATACACTACTATACACTACACTATACACTACTATACACTACACCACTACACACTACACTATACACTACACTATACACTACACTATACACTACTATACACTACACTATACACTACACATTACTACACTATACACTACACTACACTATACACTACACTATACACTACACTACTATACACTACACTACTATACACTACACTATACACTACACTATACACTACACTATACACTACACTATACACTACACTATACACTACACTATACACTACACTATACACTACACTATACACTACACTACACTATACACTACACTATACACTACACTATACACTACACTATACACTACACTATACACTACACTACACCACTATACACTACACTATACACTACTATACACTACACTATACACTACACTATACACTACTATACACTACACTATACACTACACTATACACTACACTATACACTACACTATACACTACTATACACTACACTATACACTATACACTACACTATACACTACACTATACACTACTATACACTACACTATACACTACACTATACACTACTATACACTACACTATACACTACACTATACACTACACTATACACTACACTATACACTACTATACACTACTATACACTACACTATACACTACACTATACACTACACTATACACTACACTATACACTACTATACACTACACTATACACTATACACTACAGTATACACTATACACTACACTATACACTACACTATACACTACACTATACCTTACACTATACACGACACTATACACTACTATACACTACTACACTACATTATACACTACACTATACACTACACTATACACTACTCTACTATACACTACACTTCCATATACTACTATACACCACACTAATATACACTACACTATACACTACACTATACACTACACCACTATACACTACACTATACACTACACTATACACTACACTATACACTACACCACTATACACTACACTATACACTACACTATACACTACTATACACTACACTATACACTACACTATACACTACACTATACACTACACCACTATACACTACACTATACACTACACTATACACTACTATACACTACACTATACACTACTATACACTACACTATACACTACACCACTATACACTACACTATACACTACACTATACACTACACTATACACTACTATACACTACACTATACACTACACATTACTACACTATACACTACACTATACACTACACTATACACTACACTACTATACACTACACTACTATACACTACACTATACACTACACTATACACTACACTATACACTACACTATACACTACAATATACACTACACTACACTATACACCACTATACACTACACTATACACTACACTATACACTACACTACTATACACTACACTACTATACACTACACTACTATACACTACACTACTATACACTACACTATACACTACACTATACACTACACTATACACTACACTATACACTACACTATACACTACACCACTATACACTACACTATACACTACTACACTATACACTACACTATACACTACTATACACTACTATACACTACTATACACTACACTATACACTACTATACACTACACTATACACTACACTATACACTACACTATACACTACTATACACTACACTACTATACACTACTATACACTACACTACTATACACTACACTATACACTACTATACACTACACTATACACTACTATACACTACTACACTACATTATACACTACACTATACACTACACTATACACTACTCTACTATACACTACACTTCCATATACTACTATACACCACACTAATATACACTACACTATACACTACACTATACACTACACTATACACTACACCACTATACACTACACTATACACTACTATACACTACACTATACACTACTATACACTACACTATACACTACACCACTATACACTACACTATACACTACACTATACACTACACTATACACTACTATACACTACACTATACACTACACATTACTACACTATACACTACACTACACTATACACTACACTATACACTACACTACTATACACTACACTATACACTACACTATACACTACACTATACACTACACTACACTATACACTACAATATACACTACACTACACTATACACCACTATACACTACACTATACACTACACTACTATACACTACACTACTATACACTACACTACTATACACTACACTACTATACACTACACTATACACTACACTATACACTACACTACTATACACTACACTACTATATACTACACTATACACTACACTATACACTACACTACTATACACTACACTATACACTACACTACGAAACACCACTACTATACACTACATGATACACTACACTATACACTACACTACTCTAGACTACACTATACACTACACTATACACTACACTATACACTACACTACTATACACTACACTACTATACACTACACTATACACTACACTACTATACACTACACTATACACTACACTATACACTACACTATACACTACACTATACACTACACACTACTATACACTGCACTATACACTACACTATACACTACACTACTATACACTACACTACTATACACTACACTATACACTACACTACTATACACTACACTACTATACACTACACTATACACTACACTACTCTACTCTACACTACACTACTCTACACTACACTATACACTACACTATACACTACACTACTATAGACGACACTATAGACTACACTACACAATATACTACACTAGTACACACTACACTACTATACACTACTCTACACTACACTATACACTACACTACTATACACTACACTATACACTACACTACTATACACTACACTATACACTACACTATACACTACACTATACACTACACTATACACTACACACTACTATACACTGCACTATACACTACACTATACACTACACTACTATACACTACACTACTATACACTACACTATACACTACACTACTATACACTACACTACTATACACTACACTATACACTACACTACTCTACACTACACTACTCTACACTACACTATACACTACACTACTATAGACGACACTATAGACTACACTACACAATATACTACACTAGTACACACTACACTACTATACACTACTCTACACTACACTATACACTACACTACTATACACTACACTATACACTACACTACTATACACTACACTATACACTACACTATACACTACACTATACACTACACTACTATACACTACACTATACACTACACATATACACTACACTACTATACACTACACTATACACTACACTACTATACACTACACTATACACTACACTATACACTACACTACTATACACTACACTATACACTACACTACTATACACTACACTACTATACACTACACAACTTTACACTACACTATACACTACACCTATACACTACACTACTATACACTACACTATACACTACACTACTATACACTACACTATACACTACACTATACACTACACTACTATACACTACACTATACACTACACTACTATACACTACACTGCTATACACTACACTACTATACACTACACTACTATCCACTACAGTGCTATACGCTACACTACTATACACTACACTATACACTACACTACTATATACTACACTACTATACACTACACTACTATACACTACACTATATACTACACTACACTATATACTACACTAATATATACTACACTACTATACACTACACTGCTATACACTACAATGCTATACACTAGACTACTATACACTACACTATACACTGCACTATACACTACACTATACACTACACTATACACTACACTATACACTACAATATACACTACACTATAGACTACACTACTATACGCTACACCACTATACACTACACTATAAACTACACTGCTATACACTACTATACACTACACTACTATACACTACACTATACACTACACTACTATACACTACTATACACTACACTATTCTACACTACACTCCTATACACTACACTAGTATACACTACACTATACACTACACTACTATACACTACACTGCTATACACTACACTATACTACTATAAACTACACTATACACTACTCTGCTATACACTACACTATACACTACACTATACAATACACTACTAAACACTACACTATACTCTACATTATACACTACACTAAACACTACTACACTATACACTACACTGCTATAAACTACACTATACACTACACTGCAATACACTACACTATACACTACACTATTATACACTACATTATACACTACACTGCTATACACTACACTATACACTACACTGCTATACACTACACTATACACTACACTGCTATACACTACACTTTACACTACACTACTATACACTACACTACTATACACTACACTATACACTACACTACTATACGCTACACTACTATACACTACACTACTTTACACTATACATACACTACTATACACTACACTGCTATACACTACACTTTACACTACACTATACACTACACTACTATACACTACACTACTATACACTACACTTTTCACTACACTATACACTACACTACTATACACTACACTACTATACACTACACTATACACTACACTCTATACACTGCATTATACACTACTATACACTACACTACTATACACTACACACTACACTATACACTACACTATACACTTTACATTACACTATAAACTATACACTACACTATACTCTAAACTACACTCAACACTACACTATACATTACACTACTATATACTACACTACTATACACTACACTATGCACTACTCTATTTTGCACTACACTATACACTACACTACCATACATGTATCTGTATGTAGCTGTTGTGTATCTGTGTGTATGTATCTGTGTGTATGTATCTGTGTGTATGTATCTGTGCGTGCGTGTGTATGTATCTGTGTGTATCTGTGTGTATGTATCTGTGTGTATGTATCTGTGCGTGCATGTGTATGTATCTGTGTGTGTGTATCTACGTGTGTCTGTATGTGTGTCTGTGCGTATCTGTATCTGTGTGTATGTATTTGCGTGTATGTATCTGTGTGTGTCTGTATGTATCTCTGTACGCATCTGTATCTGTGTGTATGTATCTGTGTGTATGTATCTGTGTGTATGTATCTGCGTGTATGTGTCTGTGCGTGCGTGTGTATGTATCTGTGTGTGTGTATCTGAATGTATGTATCTGTGCGTATGTATCTGTGCGTGCGTGTGTTTGTATCTGTGTGTGTGTATCTGTGTGTATGTATCTGTGCGTATGTATCTGTGCGTGCATGTGTATGTATCTTGTGTGTGTATATCTGTGTGTATGTGTCTGTGCATATGTATCTGTGTGTATGTATCTGTGTGTATGTATCTGTCCGTATGTATATGTGCGTGCATGTGTATGTATCTTGTGTGTATATCTGTGTGTATGTATCTGTGCGTATGTATCTGTGTGTATGTATCTGTGTGTATGTATCTGTGCGTGCATGTGTATGTATCTTTTGTGCGTATATCTGTGTGTATGTATCTGTGTGTATGTATCTGTGCGTGCGTGTGTATGTATCTGTGTGTATGTATCTGTGTGTGTGTATATCTGTGTGTATGTATCTGTGTGTGTATCTGTGTGTGTGTATCTGTGCGTGCGTGTGTATGTATCTGTGTGTGTATCTGTGTGTATGTATCTGTGTGTATGTATCTGTGCGTGCATGTGTATGTATCTGTGTGTATGTATCTTGTGTGCGTATGTATCTGTGTGTATGTATCTGTGTGTGGATCTGTGTGTGTATCTGTGCGTGCGTGTGTATGTATCTGTGTGTATGTATCTGTGTGTATGTATCTTGTGTGTGTATGTATCTGTGTGTATGTATCTGTGTGTATTATCTTGTGTGTATGTATCTGTGTGTATGTATCTGTGTGTATGTATCTTGTGTGCGTATGTATCTGTGTGTGGATCTGTGTGTGTATCTGTGCGTGCGTGTGTATGTATCTGTGTGTATGTATCTGTGTGTATGTATCTGTGTGTGTGTATATCTGTGTGTATGTATCTGTGTGTGTATCTGTGTGTGTGTATATCTGTGTGTATGTATCTGTGTGTATGTATCTGTGCGTGCATGTGTATGTATCTGTGTGTGTGTATATATCTGTGTGTATGTATCTGTGCGTATGTATCTGTGTGTATGTATCTGTGTGTATGTATCTGTGCGTTTGTGTCTGCGCGCGCTCTCTCTCTGCGAGCAGCGTCCACACGCGATCGTGGAAGATCACGAGGAAGCGCTCCTCGCGCCGGACGGGCGACGAGCCCTCGTCCGTGGCGTGCCCGGCGCCCGCCGAGGTCCATGTCAACTTCCGCCAAGACTCCAACGAAGACGCCAGGGAGCAAGCAGCCGCAGGGAGAGAGGGCCCAGCCGGTGAGCCGTCGTGGGGGGGGGGGGCGTCTAGTCGGGTGACGTCGCCTCTCCGTTTAACCCTACGGCAACCCGTGCCTCCGGGAGACTGAGCGGCCTCTCCGTTTAACCCTACGGCAACCCGTGCCTCCGGGAGACTGAGCGGCCTCTCCGTTTAACCCTACGGCAACCCGTGCCTCCGGGAGACTGAGTGGCCTCTCCGTTTAACCCGACGACAACCCGTGCCTCCGGGAGACTGAGCGGCCTCTCCGTTTAACCCTACGGCAACCCGTGCCTCCGGGAGACTGAGCGGCCTCTCCGTTTAACCCTACGGCAACCCGTGCCTCCGGGAGACTGAGTGGCCTCTCCGTTTAACCCGACGACAACCCGTGCCTCCGGGAGACTGAGCGGCCTCTCCGTTTAACCCTACGACAACCCGTGCCTCCGGGAGACTGAGCGGCCTCTCCGTTTAAACCGACGACAACCCGTGCCTCCGGGAGACTGAGAGGCCTCTCCGTTGAACCCTACGGCAACCCGTGCCTCCGGGAGACTGAGTGGCCTCTCCGTTTAACCCTACGACAACCCGTGCCCCCCGCAGGCTGAGTGGCCTCCCCGTTAAACAGATGACAACCCGTGCCTATACTCTTTGGTTCTTTCGGTAAAGTCACGTAATCATAAAATAAAATAAATCCCGACGTTGCGGGCGCAACACAAGCGTCCATCATCAGGTGCGAAAGCGTGGTCTGCTGCTGAGGCAGACTGTTTTTAAAAAATCTGCCTCAGCAGCAGACCACGCTTTCCAACCCGTGCCTCTCGCAGACTGAGTTGCCTCTCCGTTAACCCCCAGCCCGTGCCTCCCACAGACTGAGTTGCCTCTCCGTTAACCCCCAGCCCGTGCCTCCCACAGACTGAGTTGCCTCTCCGTTAACCCCCAGCCCGTGCCTCCCACAGACTGAGTTGCCTCTCCGTTAACCCCCAGCCCGTGCCTCCCACAGACTGAGTATCCTCTCTGTTAACCCCCAGCCCGTGCCTCCCACAGACTGAGTGGCCTCTCCGTTAACCCCCAGCCCGTGCCTCCCACAGACTGAGTGGCCTCTCCGTTAACCCCCAGCCCGTGCCTCCCACAGACTGAGTGTCCTCTCTGTTAACCCCCAGCCCGTGCCTCCCACAGACTGAGTATCCTCTCTGTTAACCCCCAGCCCGTGCCTCCCACAGACTGAGTATCCTCGCCGTTAACCCCCAGCCCGTGCCTCCCACAGACTGAGTGGCCTCTCCGTTAATCCCCAGCCCGTGCCTCCCACAGACTGAGTGGCCTCTCTGTTAACCCGCAGCCCGTGCCCCCCCTCCCCCCTCCCCCCCCCCCCCCCCTCCCCACCTGCAGACTGCGACCCGTCTCCGAACGACATCACCCAGGCACGAGGAATTGGACGCCTCTCTCTGCTGAAAGAGGTGAGCCCGTGGACGGGATGGAAGCTCTGGGCCCTCTGTGCACCCTGAGATGTTGACTACCTCACCTGGTCTACAGGAGGTCGTGGGTTCGATCCCGGACCCTAACGACTCCTGCTGCTGTATATTTGGAGTCTGTGTCTCTCTCTCTCTCTCTCATCATCACGGTGGCTAGGAGATGTTGACTACCTTGCCAGGTCTACAGGAGGTCGTGGGTTCGATCCCGGACCCTAACGACTCCTGCTGCTGTATATTTGGAGTCTGTGTCTCTCTCTCTCTCTCTCATCATCACGGTGGCTAGGAGATGTTGACTACCTTGCAAGGTATACAGGAGGTTGTGGGTTCGATCCCTCACCCTGATGACTCCTGCTGCTGTATATTTGGAGTCTGCGTCTCTCTCTCATCATCACGGTGGCTATGAGATGTTGACTACCTTGCCTGGTATACAGGAGGTCGTGGGTTCGATCCTGCAGCCTGAGGCCTGCTTTATATTTGGAGTCTGCGTCTCTCTCTCATCATCACGGTGGCTATGAGATGTTGACTACCTTGCCTGGTATACAGGAGGTCGTGGGTTCGATCCTGCAGCCTGAGGCCTGCTTCATATTTGGAGTTTGTGTGTCTCTCTCTCTCTCTCCATAGTCGTGTGGATTTTTTCTTTGCGTCCTCTGGTTTGTATTCTTCCAACGCCAGCACGCGTGGCTTGCGAACAAAGAGACACCCACCTCCACATCCCTCCCCCACCCCCCAGGAGGAGCGAGCCTTCTGGAGCGACGTGATTACCAAGTACCTGAAGCCACTGGAGGAGAACGATGAGCACAAGGCCAACGTGACCAAGGGGCTCAACAAGCTGCGCAACAAGGTGTGGGCTCGTGTGCCCTGGGAGGGGAGGGGGGGGGAGTCTTCCGGTGAAGTCCACGTAGATAGGTTCCAAAAATAAAAATTACAAAAAAACAACACGACGTTTCGATCGCGACACAGGCGGGGAAACTTGACGGCGATCGCTCGCGAAGCGATCCAAACGTCGCGGTTTTTGGTTTACAAAAAAATTGTTGAACCTATCCACGTGGAATTTGCCGAAAGACCCAAAGAATATGAGTTCCTGCAGTCGCGACAGCTTAAAGTGAAGATTCCACGGAGATAGGTTCAACATTTTTTGACGAAAAAACCACGGCGTTTCGATCGTAAACATGAACTGTTGACATGTTGCGATCGAAACAACGTCGTTTTTTTTGTAAAAACAATTTGTATTTTTTTTTCCTACCTACGTGGACTTTACCAAAAAGACCCAAGAATAATTCCTGCAGTCGCGAAAGCTTTGAGACAAGATTCCACGTAAGATAGGTTCAAGAGTTTTTCCACAAAAAAAACTTCGACGTTTCGATCGCAACTTACGATGACGACCGCTCGTGTTGTGATCAAAACGTCGTGAAATCTTGATTTGATGTTTCCGTGTCTGCAGGAATCCAAACTCTTTAGTTACTTGACTCCATACTCTTTGGTTACGTGGACTTTACCGAAAGAAACAAAGCGTACGAAACGTCGTGGTTTTTTGTTATTTTTTTGAAACCTACCTACGTGGACTTTACCGAAAGACCAAACGAATATGAATTCCTGCAGTCACGAAAGCTTTAAGTCAAGATTTTAAGGCGCGCTTGGCTTGCTTACGAGGCTCGCTCGAAGGTCGTCGTGGACGCCACGGTGGCTAGGAAATGTTAAATATCTCGCCTGATCTGCAGGATGCCGTGGGTTCGATCCTGGACCCTGACTATGCCAGGTACTGTAAATTTGGAGTTTGCATGTTTCTCTCATCATCATCATCATCACGATGGCTAGGAGATGTTTGTCATCCAAGGCCTGGTCTGCAGGAGGTCGTGGGTTCAGATCCTTGACCCTAACGATGCTGCTGCTGTATATTTAGAGTCTGCTTCTCCATCTCATCATCATCACAGTGGCTCGGCAGAATGTTAACTACCTCGCTTGGTACACGGCCGATCGTGTGTGCCACGGTGGCGAGATATTAACTACCTCGCCTGGTACGCGGGGTGGGTTGTGGGCACACCACGGAGAATGTTAGCTACCTCGCCCGGTGTGTGGTCAGGGCCGTGGGGTACCACGGAGAATGTTAGCTACCTCGCCCGGTGTGTGGTCAGGGCCGTGGGGTACCACGGAGAATGTTAACTACTTCGCCGGGTACGCGCGGTAGCCATCGAACAGCTGGCGACGTCCTCGCGCTGAACCCCACCCCGTCCCCCCCACCCACCCAGGCGACCTTCGTCTACTTCCTCATCAACGCCCTGTGGCTCGTCGCCACGATGGTGCTCCAGCTGGTGGGCGACGACCTCGACATCCAGGTGCCCAAGCCCAGCGACCCCACGCAGACGGAGGCCGTGCCGCCCCTCTCCCTCGTCTTCCTCGTCATCTTCGCCTTCATCCTCATCGTCCAGTTCCTCGCGATGCTCTACCACAGGTGTGGTGTGTGGGTGGGAGTCGGGTGTGGGCAGGAGAACGTTCCAGACGGCTGCCTCTGTCTGCCTCCCCCGGTGCACCAGGGGGTGTTGATTCGTTTGAGGCTGAGTCGACCTATGGGTAAGATAAAAGAACATTCCAGACGGCCGCCTCTGTCTGCCTCCACCAATGCACCAGCGGGGGTTGATTTGTTTAAGGCTGAGTCAACCTAGGGGTAGGGGTTGTAGGAGGAGAGAACGTTCCAGACGGCCGCCTCTGCCTGCCTCCCCCTAATGCACCAGCGGGGGTTGATTCGTTTAAGGCTGAGTCTACCTAGGGGTAGGAGGAGAGAACGTTCCAGACGGCCGCCTCTGTCTTCCTCCTCCCCCCCCCCCCAGTGGCGATATTCAATACCCAAGACAAAGACCCCCGTGTAGGCTGTCCGTGACAGCCGCTGAGGGGCACGTGCTGTTGTTAGCGAGTAGCAGCAGCAGCTACGCCCGTGAAGACCCCTTCGGCGCGGTGGCACGCACGGAATTCCCGCGGTCACGAAAGCTTCGAGTGAAGATTGTTTAACCATTCACGATAGGCGAGGGGTGGTGGTGGTGGTGGTGATAGGGCTTCTTCACGTTCTCGGTTAACAGGCAGGAGGCTTTCGCGACCAATATCATCTGTAACAGAGATGGTTGTTGTTTTTTTTTTCTTTCGGCGTTAGAACTGCGTGAATGTGTAAACGTCGCATCGTTAGAACTGACACAGCCAAACCCAGTCAGGTCTTGATTTGAAGGTTTTGTGACCGCAGGAATCCGAACCATTTGGTTCTTTCGGTAAAGTCCACCTAGGTGCGACAAAATAATAGATCGCGACGTTTCGATCGATTGTAACGTCGTGATCTATTTATTTTTCTTACCCACACGCGACTTTACCGAAAGAACCAATGAACAGGGAACCCGGCCGGGGTTTTTGTCCCGTCTCAAGTCGACGCAACGTTGGCCAATCTGTGATTTGCCGCTTTCGTGACCGCAGGAAATCCGATCCATTTGGTTCTCTCGGTAAAGTCCACGTAGGTAGAACGTCGGCCAATCCGCCAGCCGCCGCTTCACCGCTGCGCCTGTATCCCAACCTCCCGGTGGTGCCCGCAGGGTGTACACGGTGCTCCACTTCCTCTCCTACGTGGGCTCGTCGAGCGACGGCCGAGACAGGGCGGCCCCCCCCAGCGCGGAGGCGACGGAGCGGAGGCGAGACGTGTGGGCGTCCTCGGCGAGCGGCGGCTTCTTCTTCGATGACGTCGTCGATGACGTCGTCCCGACGGTGCTGGGTCGCAGCGGCAGGGGGTGGGAGGAGGAGGACGCCGATTCTGGCAACGTCAACTCGTTGATTTACTAGGAGGGAGCGGGCGGGGGGGGGGAGGGAGGGAGGGAGGGAGGGAGCGAGGGGAGGTGATGGAGGGAGGGAGGGAGGGGGGAGGCGAGGGAGGGGGGGAGGGAGGGAGGTAATGGAGGGATGGAGGGAGGGAGGGGGGAGGCGAGGGAGGGGGGGAGGGAGGGAGGTAATGGAGGGAGGGAGGGAGATAATGGAGGGGGAGAGGGAGGGAGAAGAGGGGAGGGAGGGAGGAGAGGAAATTCACGCATTTTGATTGCTTCCTCCCCCTCATCGACTTTATTCACCTCATTACTAACAACAACAGCCGCCATTCGCCACTAAGTGTCGGTGACGTCACTATGACGCCACCTGTGCCAGGCTGTGTGCACTTTAAGGCCGCGTGAAGTGCCGAATGCCAGCTGGTAGGAGGTTTCGGGCCAGAGCCTGCAGGTGCAATGGGTCGACTGACTGAGATGCACCACCACCTGTGCCCCCTACTGTGCCAACTCGTTGCACTTTAGCCGCCCGGCGCTCCGCTCGTTGTTACGAGCGTCGCTCCTCCGCCCTCCGTTGTTGCTCGAGGGCGAGTGCCTCCAATTGCCCAGTAGCAGCGTCCTTCACGAGCCTCCTCCATATAAGCAGATATTGACACCGCTGGTACCGGTCATTGGCAAGCCCACTCAGCTCCACATTCTCTTGTACCACATCACTCCATCTCTTCTCTAGCTCGTGCCGCGCCCGTCTAGCCCCCTCTATCCCGACGAACAAAAGCTGTCTAGGCATGCGTTGGCTGGGCATGCGGGCTACATGGCCCAGCCAACGCAGCCTTGCCTGCCGGAGGAGCTCACCAATGGGACTTTGTCCAGATCTTTTAAGGATTTGTAAGCTCTTCACACAATCCAGCCTGGTCAAACCCAGGATGGACTGTAGGCAGGCCAGCCTGAATGTTTATAACCGGTCAAGATATTCCATTGGGGGGGGGGGGGTCCACATTCCACATGCAAGTGTAGATAATGGAGAGCATGGCTATAGCCGAGAAGACCCGAAGCTTCATGTGGAATGAAAGACCAGGTAGCTTCAACACAGCGTTATGCAGCCGATGAAAAAATAATGAATTCCACTCGACTGTTTCGGAGTGAGACCTCTGCTGTCCAACCGTAGGTGGTCATAAGCACCCTACCTAGGTATGGAAAACACTACACTCTCCATCTGCCCCATCACTAATTGGGAATTGAGGGAGTGGAGTGTTTCGTGGTACAAAATACCCAGGCAGGTGCTAGGTTTTGGTGAGGCTGATGGTAAGGCCCCACCTCTTAGTAGCACGCTCCAGTCTCAGCAGCAGCGTCTCCAACTCCTCCTCTGAATGAGCAGCAATTATCAGATCATTGGCATACATAACGTGGTTGAGCAATAGGGAGCCATCCCTTGACCGCACCCAGGAATCAATCAGCCTCCCATTATATCTGCAACAGATGGAGATTCCTCCGGTACAGTCATCGAAGACTTCATGAATTACATCGTCAAAGTGGATGTTAAATTTTGGAGGAGCCAAGAGGACAACCCTGTCGCACCCCAAGGTGTACAGGGAATGGCTGTGACTCCCGGCCACGTAGTTTTACCCGGGCCCGCTCACCATCATGAAGGTCCTTAATGATCGTGAGCAGAGGGTCAGGGACTCCGAAAGCAGGAAAACGACCGAGATCCCTGGCCTATTGATAGTATCATTGGCCTTGACATGGTCAATAAAGCCGAGATGTAGGTCCTGTTGGAATTCCCTACACCTCTGCTGTAGCAGACTCACAGAAAATATGGCATCTGTGCAGGACCGCCCTGGCCTGAAACCACTTTGGGGCTCCGCAAGCCTCTCCTCAGCGTGCCTGGAAAGGGAATGTTCAATAATACTTGTCAGGACTTTTTCCAGGCACACTGAGGAGTGAGATGTCCCTGTAGTTGTTACAGTCTATGCAGTATCCCTTCTCAAAGAGGGGGACCACCAGGGCATCCTTCCAATTTTGCGGAACCCATCCATTGGTCCAGACTGTTGTTATGATGTCATGTAGGGCAGTCTGCACACAAACGCCACCCTCCCTCAGCATTTCGCTTGGGAGATCATCTCTGCCCGGCGTTTTTCCTGGTCTCAACCTCTGGATCGCCTTCCATACTTCCTCAACAGATGGAACCTCAGCCAGCCACTCACAGGGGGTGACTACTTCTTCTAATATTTGAGGCACGACAGCCTCAGCAGGGTCATCCCCACATTGCCCCACGATGTTTTCCAGGCTTAGGGATTTCCCCTCCCCCAAGACCTCACAGAAATGCTCGGCAAATCTGCAAACCTATACCCGGTGGGTCAGATCAGATCACCGTTCTTTCCCCTAATGATGGTGATAAGTGTGGCGCTGCAAGTTTCTTTTTTGATGGAGTCAAATAGTCATTTGTGATCGCGGGCTTCTGATTTAGACTGCATCTCCTCAGAAACCCGCGACCACCACCGATCCTTGCAGTGCCTCACGGCTCTCCGAAATTCTGAGTGAAGGCTGCGATAAGCCTCCACATTCTCTGACGTGGAATGCTGTAGACGATGAGAGTGGGCCTGTAATTATTTCTCAGCGAGCCTGAACACCTCCTCTGTCAGCCAGGGTCTCTGGGGAGGTCTGCACCGCGTACCCAACGCAGCCATTCCAGCTGCATGAGTCACAGTCCTAAACCTCGCCCATTTACCCTCAACATCAGGAGGAGTCGGGGTCAATGCCAACCCCAGCCGCAAGCGTTAATGCAATTCTTGCTTGAAACGTTCATCTGCGAGCTGAGACCAGGCCACTATGGGTTTGGATGGGGTCCTGGGTGTACACCCACCACCGGAGTGGAATAATGGCATGCACATCTTACAGATGACTAGTCGATGGTCAGTGGGCAGATCAGCTCCACGGTAGGTCCTGGTGTCAAGGACATGGGACCGCATCCACTGATCCATCACTATGTAGTCCAGCAGATGTTCTTGCTTGGACCCAGCGTGCATCCATGATGTTGTGTGGATGTACCAATGCCAGAGCAGCATGTTGCACAGAAGTCTAGCACCCTCCTACCATTGTTATTGAGCTGATCTGACCCATGCCTTCCAATCACTCTGGTCCAGGTAACAGCATCATGACCAACTCGGGCATTAGAGTAATCCGACAGGATGACTATATGCCAAAGGGGCCACTTTAGCCAGCACCTTTGACAAGAGGTTATAGAAAGCATCTGACCCATCAGCCTTGCTTGCATCCCTCCACTGATGTTCATTTTCGGTGGGGGCATAAGTAACTGCGACCACCACTCCTCGCCTCTGGTTGATGGGAAGGCGAGCCCACAGTAGCTTGGGCGGTTACAGCTTCCCGCACCTCACTGCCATGCTCCGACGCCCCCTTTATTATTTTCTTCAGAAGAAGAACCACTCCCTGGTGTTTGGCAGTCTCCTGCCCCGAGTAGAGGACTGTCCACCCCTCATAGTGGCTGGAGACAGAGCCGGTCCACCGGACCTCCTGAATACCACAGAGATCCAGGCGGTACCGGTCCAGCTCCTGACAGAGGAGTGGCAGCCTCTCCTCCGCAGTGAGCGCTCGAACATTCCACGTGGCCAATCTCGCAGTGGCTTTTTGCTGTTTCTGGTCGGAAACCCCGAGTGTAAAGATTCATCTCCTGGCTCCGCCAAGTGGGATTCGGCCAGGAGACGCCATAGATGACGTGTCCCTCCGCGAGGCCTCCGGCACAAGCTTCGTAATATATTTTGCACTAAGTTCAGTGGTAGTTGAATTGAAGTTGCGAGGGGTCACACCGTCACCCCTACAAGCGCCATGAAACGGGCATAGCCGATACTGGAATTGCCTGTCCACCCGCTCCCGCCATGACGTGGCTCTCACCCACCACAGCCTCACCATCCGTCACCACCGGGTGAGGTGGAGGCCAGTTTGTTTTTTGACCGAATTACCTCACCACCTCACCTGCGCCATTGCATTCACGAATGAATGCACGCCACTGTTGATGCTGTGTGAAGTGCCCTGTTTAAGACCCCCCCCCCCCCCCCCCGTATAAATTTCCGTGTCAGATTAGATAAGACCAGGGCTGATGCCCTGACGGAGTCGAGTAGGGGTCGATAGGAAAATTTTCGTCGGCGGGTGAAAGAGGGAGGCTTTTTTCTGTTGTTCCATTCCTACACCGCGTAGAGACAGTGGGGTTGGTTCTCAACGTATATAGTATAGTGTATAGGCTAGTGTAGTGTAAAGTGTAGTGTAGGCTATAGTGTAGTATCTAGTGTAGTGCATAGTATAGTGCAGTGGTTCTCAACGTTTTACTGGCAGCCTACGTAACACCTCATCGGTTCTCAATTGTTTAAAAAAGAAAAGTGTAACAATGTCAATAAACACAAAGTTGTAACTTAACGTGCCCCGTTCTTCATTTGTGCGTTTCGTTTGATTTGCCTTCCAAAAAACAAAAAAAACTGACCACGTCTCGTCACCTGTCCACTGAAAGGGTCTCTCGCACCCTCAGGGGATAGCGTGGTGCTCCGCATGTTAAGAAGGAGCCACCGCCAGTGTCAGATGGCACTCAGCCCACTCGCTCGTGAAAGGCAGGGACAGGAGCACGGCATGGGTTCTTTACGTCACCTTTATTTAACCAGGTCAAAAATAAAGAAATGAACCCTTGACGTTCAAAACCTCCTTTGCGAGGGGCGACCTGCCAATAAGACAGCGAACAGAAATCACCACGCATGCACACAATAGATAATCCATAGGAGAGGGCCCTTTTTTGGTGGTTAGATCGCTTAAATATATAATGCAGAGTCTATGAGTCTCAGCACTGAGTCTATGGTTCAGTGCTGAGTCTATGGTGCAGTGCTGAGTCTATGGGTCTCAGTGCTGAGTCTATGGTGCAGTGCTGAGACTATGGGTCTCAGTGCTGAGTCTATGGGTCTCAGTGCTGAGTCTATGGTGCAGTGCTGAGTCTATGAGTCTCAGCACTGAGTCTATGGTTCAGTGCTGAGT